AAAAAAAAATGCGCCTTCTGGAAAATTTAAATGTTGAACGATATCAGAGTAGTCTCAGTACAATTTAAAGTGGCTAGCTGGTAAAATCCTCGTAAGACATCAAAATCAGACATCATCCAAAATTTCATAGAAATAAGATCACATCTCTACCAAATCAACACTGCCTTTCAGCACTCTCTTTAATAGTAAAGGACAAAATGATCCACACATGCCACATACCACCCCCAGCCAAAAATAAAAATAATTATTCCAAGTACTAATGGTCCAATATCAAACTTACTATGACGTTTAAATTCCTTCTGCAGTTTACTGATCTGGTTACTTTTTATCCTGTTTCCAGACAGAGTTTTCACTTTCTTTGGTTTCAATGTGGTCTTTAGACTGGGTCCTGCCCTTGCGTCTACCACCTGGAAGAAAATACTGAATATTTAATATCATTTTAAAAAGGACACCAGCAGATCCCTTTGGTTCAGACCCACGCCGTTTTAGGGAAGCCTTGACTCCTGAGAATTGGAAACCAATTTTATACTCAAAGAGGGTTCACGTGCACTTTTAATTATCACATGAGATAAAAGAAATCAATATTATTTGTCAAGTGGGGGGTTAATTTTTTTTCCTTTCAAGTGGGCAACAGAAGTCTGCTGGGGAAAAATATAAAAATATAAAAAAAGATTTATATATGGGATAATCATTGGAAAAACCAACTAAGTTAAGAATCAAGCCTGACAACATTTCTACAGGATGTTTTGCAGTTTACAAAAAGCTTTCATATACTTTTAATTTTACCACAAAGCAGTAAAGGGGCTTTTTTTTTTTTTTGTAGAGACAGAATCTCACTTTATCACCCTCGGTAGTAGAGTGCCATCAACCTCCAATTCCTGGGCTTAGGCAATTCTCTTGCCTCAGCCTCCCAAGTAGCTGGGACTACAGGCGCCTGCTACAATGCTCGGCTATTTTTTTGTTACAGTTTGGCCAGGGCCGGGTTTGAACCCTCCACCCTTGGTATATGGGGCCAGCGCCCTACTCAC